GTAGTGTTCTACTGACAGTGACCTTTGAAACTGTGGTCCCAGCTCTCTTCATGTCATTGACCAGCTCCTCCCTATCGTTCTGGGCTGATTCCTCACCTTTCTTATAATCAGTGATACCTCACGAGGTGAGCTCTTGCATGGCGTCCCAGTCCGAGGGAGACTGACAGTCGTCTTTAGCCTCTTCCATTTTCTAACAATTGCTCCAACAGTTGATCTATTTTCACCAAGCTGCTTGGCAATTGCCCCGTAGCCCTTTCCAGCCTTGTGGAGGTCCACAATTTTGTCTCTGGTGTCTTTTGACAGCTCTTTGGTCTTGCCCATGGTAGTAGTTGGCGTCTGACTGACTGTGGGGTGGACAGGTGTCTTTAAAGAGCTCAGACAGGTGCTACTAATTTAGATTAATGAGTGGAGTAGAGGTGGACTTTTTCAAGGCACAGTAACAGGTCTTTGAGAGCCAGAATTCTTGCTGTTTCTCAGGTGTTCAAATACTTATGTTCAGCAGTGCAAGACAAATAAATTCTTTAAAAATCATACAATGTGATTTCCTGAAATTTTTTTCTTAATTCTGTCTCTGAGTGGGAATGCACCTACAATGTGAATTTCAGACCCCTCCATGATTTCTAAGTGGGAGAACTTGCAAAATCGCAGGGTGTTCAAATACTTCAGTTCCTCACTCTATGTACAAAATTATACAAAAGTCTTGAGTGTTTTGATTTGATTTTCAGGTCCCCATTGAGGTAATGGACACCTCCCCATCTCCTCCATCTGCAGCACCCACACCCACAGTCACAGCTACACCCGCTGCCACCCCAGCCACTCGCCCCACAAGGTCCCAGCATTACAACCCTGAGGAGAACACCATCACCAACATATGTACCTCCAACATCATTCTGGACCTGCCTCAGGTCACCACACGCTCCCGTACTGGTGCCATCAAACCCCAAACTTCACCCTCTACCACTACCTCGAACCCCCCTACTGTCACTAAGATCATCATCAAACAGACACCGCTGCCCTCTGGTGGTATGGCGGTCACAGCACGCCCTCGCCACGGCAGCCACCACCGCTTCAGCAGATGCAGAGCACTCCTCCTCCACCTCGACTGCAGCAAATGGTACATGCACATACTCCTCCGCCATTGCAAGCTAAACCCCGAGGCGGAGGTGCAGCTGCTACGACAGTTCCACCTCCCCTGCAGATTAAAGTTGTCCCAGTATCACGACAGTTGGATTCCACCACACCAATCATTGTGACGTCAGCCAGTGAAACGGCTACATCAGTTACCACCTCCTCTGCTGTGACGGTGGAGATGGCAGATTCTGCTGCTGTGGTGACAGGAGGAGGAGAGGACGTGGCAGAGGAAGGGGTAAGCTCAGCAGTACAGACTCTAGAGTTTCACACAGAATTTGAGTCTACTCATGGGGGGCAGGGGGTGGTGTCCCTCCTTCTCTCCTAACATACATCTTTCTCTTCAGCCATCTCTTCCTGACCCTCTCTTGCTGCTTCAGCAACGCCTGTCAGTGTTCAAAATAAATCCGTTGGATCACTAATCACACTGATCGGACTGATCCACTGTCCCATTTGTGTTTATTTCCTTGGACTGTGGGGCCAAATGTTCGCCAAAATTTATGACCTAGAATTAAGTTTATGTTTATGTTAGCCCTGCGGTGGATTGGCGACCTGTCCAGGGTGTACCCCGCCTTTGCCCGATTGCTGGCCGGGATTGGCTCCGAAGTTTATGATATATATAACATGTTGACATCGGCAACAACTGAATTCTAACGTTAGCTTAGCAAGCCTTACTAGCTTGTTAACAATGTATTAGAAGAGTTGGATCTCCACAACTGACTACGTTGTGTTAAAAAAAACAAACGGAGAGGAGGAGCTGTTCACAGATGGTCTGTGGTTATGGTCATCATGTTTGTGTGTTTGAGAGAGAAATAGAGCAGGGCATGGAGGGACTGAACAAATACATGTGCTAAGCATGGCACTACATTGAAATAAGATTTAACCTACATATTTTAAATCGGTACGTGGCGGTCAACGTCGATATTGTCGTGGCCAACCTCAAATAAGTCGTTCTTTCTTCTGGATATGTTAGCATCTAAAACATAATGTGTTTGTTTTGGTAACATTACCAACCTAGCATGATCATGATTTTATATTGTATTGAATTCACAATTTTAATTTTGAAGTAATTTGAGCTTTGTGCGACATTTGCAGTAACCAGAGCATTCTACTGGATTGACAAATGTAGTCGTTAGTCCATTAACACTAGCTTTGCACTGGAACCTGCGTTTTGTACAATTTATTGCAACCAGACATCCATAGTTTACATCATCGCTATGAAACAGGATGTGATGGGAGAGGCAAAGAGCTGCAAGGAGCGGCTTATGGTGTCAGTTTGTTTGAGTCTCATTAGACCCTCTAGGCTGAAAAGAAATCAGGTAGAGTAGCTTTTTAAAAAAAATGTAAAGGATTCTTACTAAACAGATCAATAGGTTGACGCCTACACTACTGTCAGGTTTATGACACACACTAGGTGAAGACGTAGCTTAAAATGAAATGGCTGTATTTGTCTTTTTGTCTCAGATGGAGGTTGAGGTGAATATTGCCCCTGGCCCAAGTGTGACTACCTCTGCCAGTCCAAACCTTTGTGTGCGTGCCGGCTGCAACAACCCCGCCGTGGAGAGCAAAGACTGGGACAAGGAGTATTGTAGTAATGAGTGTGTCGCCACACACTGCAGGTGTGCATACTTGAAAGGTTCATGTGAAAAGCCACTCACCAGCAGCTCAGACAGATACAGATTATTTCTTCTAACCTTCATCATGAAAGAGAGTAGGAGTACTTACTATAATATCAGGCTGGTTTTCAAACAGCCTCTAAATGGTCTGCAGCCATATACTGTAGCAGTTTATAGGTGAAACTGTTGCATGCCGAAAATTAACGAGGCAGAAAATTCTGGGGGCTCAACATTAAATCCTGAATATGGTCAAAATAAGAATAAGATAAGAGTATCATTTGAGTTAGATATGACTAAAATACGGTGAGAACGAACAATTTCTTGTGTCCTTTCTCCTCCACAGAGATGTGTTCATGGCCTGGTGTGCAATCCGAGGGCAGAATTCTACCACCGTCACATAGGACAAGAGCATTTCTAATGGAGGAGTGCTGTACAAACAGGAAAGGACAGAGATGACTCTAGAAATGCAAATGGACAGAGGAGTGAATGAATGAATGAATGAATGATAGCCAGTTCGGCTCAGGTATCAGCACATAATGCTTTATTGTATCAAGTCATACCAGATTTCAGCCAGCTGCAGGAAATTATTTAAGTCTGTACAATGTACTGTCTCCGAGGCTCAGTCATCTGCACAAATGGTGTTTCAACAGAATAAAGCAGTTTCAGATACAGCAGTGGGAGTGACGGCTCATAACAAGGTGAATGGATGAGGAAAAAAAATACTGAGGAAAACCCAAAGAAAAACAAGAGACTTGGGTGTGCTGCTCCAGGGTTTCCTGATCATGATCATTGTGAATTTAAGTAATGGACTTGATAAAAAAGAAAAAGAAAAACATTTTTATGAACTTGTTGTGTTTTAATTGTTTTTGAAAGTAGAAAAAAGTGCAGGAAGGAAATAATATTCACTTTTATTCATTTCAAAAAAGTCAGCTTTATACATGAATGCTCCTCTCTTGATTGATGTGAATGAGGTGTGAGGGGTGATTTTTGTTTAACTGTTGAGTAATGTGTGGGTGCTAAAGCGTTGATGGGCTTTTGGCTACTTTGGAGATTTAAACGTTCAACTACTGGGCACAAACTGTCTTAAAGCTGGTCATACAAGGAGGAATCGTACAAAAATATTTGTAAGAAGCCTTTTGAAAAAAGCAAAAATGAATTTGTCACCAGTCAAAGAGTGGAGGGAAATAAAGCGACAATAATTAAAAGGATTTTGTTAAATCTTTGAAAACTGGTGCTAAAATTCAGGAAAATAACTAGTGTTCTCAGTTCATGTCTCTTGCTGAAATACCCTGTGGCTTTTTCAATATGTGATGCATATTTTTCTTTATGAGGAACATTTCTGGTGAAAATTGCTTTTTGAGATAAAAACAAACACACCAGCTGTGGCAACACTACTTCAAGGAGAGGAGAAAGGGAATACAGTAAAGAACAGTGCAGCTTCACTTTTTTTTTTTTTTACTTGGCAGTGTTTAATTTAATGAATTGCTTTCAGGTCAGTTAATAATTAAGGAAGAGATGCTTGCTTTCAAATAACTATTCCCAGTCAAATGAAATGATGCAGTAATCAATCTGGCTTATTGTAGATATTGTGTTTTTAATGGTGAAATAAAATATTTTATGTTTTAATATACATTTTGTGATGCAGATTTTGATCTCACTGTGCAGATAGCCTACTTTGTGGGCTGCAAAAATCAGTCTGTTACTGAGTAATTAAAGTATTTTTTTTTATAACTTATTAAAACTTCATATTGTGGTGAGATAAGCTGAAACCTAATATTTTAGGTTTATGAAATGGATGGGTGACTGAATGGTGGTGGTATTCTACAGTGCTCCTGACTTCTCTTAAGGTTCCTGCACTTACTTCCAAAATGTTCTTGCAACTAGCTGATGGCGCTGAAATAACTAGACTAGCAAAGCTGTTCCACATTACAACAAATAAACATAGTATAGTGTCCATATAGAGTAATGAGTCCACATTAACAGGTATGCACCATTTTAAAGCATTGGTGAAATGAAATGTATTATACTAAAACACTGAATATAATTGTTTTGCACAATGGAAACTTGAACATGTTTGTATTTTTATACTTAAAATTTAGGACATTTACGTGTATTGTGTTTTCACACTGGTATTGATACTTCTGCTTAGGTGGATGATCTCAATATTCCATTCCCCACGGAAATTTGAATTTATTAATATGAAATTTAGCAAAGTTGAGAGAAAATTCAAGTTTTTATTCCCCCAAAAGAATATAAAATGTTTTCAGTATGGCCGTTGATTAAAAAGTTAGAAAAATAGGAACTTAACGGGTCATACTGCTGTTTCCGTTAGTATCAAATTTGTATCGCGAGATTGACGTCAGTTGACTTTTTGATGACGACGGCGGGAAAACCAACTATGGCGGGAAAATGTAGTGTGGTCAACACAACACAAGAGGCGCTGTTGCTGCAAATTACATTAAAATGCGCCACAAATCATCTAATAAAATTGAGTAAAATAAGGAGAGAAAGATTTCACCATAAAGCATTTGGACATTTATTTATTAGTTTTACAATACTTTTTAGCTGGAATCAAACAAGGTTAATTTGGTCCTTATTGTGGTTTTTAATACCGTATTTCTTCTTCCTCCCATAAAAGCTGGTATGTGAAAATCGGAGGGGGAGGGAGAGGAAAAAGAAGCACACGAGGGAGGAAGGAAGGAGGGGAATCTGAGGACTTAATTGTAACAGATTGTGTGTGGCGAAAAGAAGAAGAAGAAAAAAACCCTTAATGCTACATTTGCGTATTTCAACCGAGTGGATGCTTATTAATATTACTGCGTGGCTTGTTTTTACATGACTCAGTGGGAAAGGCCGGTGTAATTGTGAAATTGCGAGAGAAGCAGCAGCATCCCGAAGTGGTGTCTTAGCAGGCGAGGAAAGTAAGTGCGTTGTTATTAGTTGACGGATCGTCATCCTCCGGCCTGCTGAGGAGCGAAGCCGGGAGCTGGAGTTTGCAACAGAGGAACCACTATGGCGGTAAACCTTGACAAGGAAGCGTACTACCGCCGGATCAAGAGATTATACAGCAATTGGAAGGTAAAATTTGGTGTTTTGAAGGGTACTGTTAATCTCAACAGGGATAAAGTGGCTCTTCTAGAAGACTGCAACCGCAGTTAGCCGCGTTTTTCTGCAGAGTGAGTTAACTCTGCTCTCGGCGTGACCTGCAATGTTTCCCAGCGCCACAGCCAGGTGGACCGGGCCTCTATCTGCACGAGTTGGCTAGCCTAGTTTGCGCCGAAACTACTTTCCAACTGGATGTTTGGGTCGACACTTCATTCGAATATTGTATCAGAAAATCGGCCTAAAAACTACATCATGTAAGCTCACCAATCATCCCATTCACCACGTTAGCTTGCCTGCTAGCTAGTAGGTTTATCAGCAAGCTAATTTACTGTAACTAGCTAAGCAGCTAAACGTGTAGTGAATCAGCGTTTGCTAACTGATAAATAAACCACGTTGCAGTGATCACAAAAACAACATTTCTAATGTAGATATGCTTGAGATATAGGTCATTGCTAAGCTGTTCAAAGTTGTTATTTTGCACTTGTTACCTTAGCTACATGCTAATGATAGTTGGCTAATTAGCTTCAGAATAACGCCTGTATCCCATTTACGTGCAGGATGCGCACAGATTTTAGAAATGATATAAAGTCTCAAATATGTGGGATTACTTTACATAACCTTGTAACTACGTTTTGGGTCTTATTTTCTTGTTCAGAAGTTCTAACATGCTGTTTAGTGAGTTTGCCGTTAATGTTGCAGCTCTAGCACGCAGATAAATGCCTCTCATTGTTAACTTACTCTGCGTTAAAAAGGTTCCCTGGGTATCACAACTGGCATGTAAAAGCTTAATATCAGCTTTGACCGACTTGCCGGCCACTTTAGGTGCTGCCATGTGATGCGGCATCGGGTGCTGAAGAAGCTTGGAGTTGCACAACATCAACTTTGAAGTGATGCTAGCAAAACAAGCTGCTTATCTCCACTCGCCAGTTTTATTGCTATAACAACTGAAACCGGCACCCTTTGTCTAGCACATTTCCCCAAAGAATTACACTGGATGTAGTAGGAGCACCTCGGTATGCTCTTGTAATTAACGTTATTTCATGTATGACATTAAATGATGTGTCCTCTCTACCATGATTTCCAGAAAGGAGAAGATGAATTTGGCAAAGTCGATGCTATTGTGGTGTCTGTTGGAGTGGACGAGGAAATTGTGTACGCCAAATCCACAGCCATACAGGTAAGGGAATATGCCAGCCCAGGCAGTGTGATAAAATCAGAGGATACTGAGCACATTCTGATGCTTGGTGATATGATCTGGATACAGGCAATTTCCCAGTCTCTGTGTGTTGTGCACAATAAATTTACAGGAGTTTACGAGGCTTATCACTCCATTAAAGCTATAGCAAACATGGCTGAAGCTGTGTGCACGACCCACATATCCTACTCTGGGTTTTGCTTCAGTCTAGTTATAAATGTGTCCAGACTGTGGTTGTTGCTGACAGATTTAAGTCTTGTCTTGTTTTGTTTTAAGCATAACAGGAGTACACATTAGGGATGGGTATCGTTAAGATTTTAGCAGTACTACTATTACAATACTGCTTATCATACTGGTACTTTAGAGGTACTCTTATCTGTTCTTTTTAGCTTTTTAAGAGACAAAGAAACTTATTTTTTCATATGTGCTGTTAACATCCTTGAGTAGCAAACAACAGCATTATTTTGAACAAATCACGAGACTGTAATATAATTACTGAAATGCAAAAGTAATAATTAAACACAGGACGTTTTCTTTATCAGTATTGTTACTGTGTGGTAGTTTGCCTCCAGCCCCCTAATCATTAGCTCTGCCCCTGCTCTGAGAGCTCTAAACTGAAAGTGTGAATTTCTGAATGACAGTACAGCTGATGCTCTGACCATTTCAGATTGAATTTGTGAATGCACCCATAACACTTTGCTGGCTAATGGTTACTTTTAATCGTTAACCCATGTTCATACAACTTAGTTATTTGTGTGTGGGCTCCAAGCTATTAGCATACATAGCATACCTGGGGCAATGTCGATGAGATGAACTACATTCTGGGCAGTCACACTGCATTCCTCTGCCTGTATGTGATACACTTTGGCTAAATGTTTGCACAGATGGCTTGTGTGTCCACCCTTGTATGCAAAAGACTTGTTGCACTTGTGGCACAAAGTACTGTCGGTGTCAGTTTTAGTCAAGTGTATCCATGCTTTTGAATGTTTACTTCTCTCTGCCATTGTCGCCAACAGCAGGATGTGTGTGTTGCAGCACACACAAGCTCCGAACGAGAGCTCGGCTTAAATACATCATAGAAGAACATCTGAATCAGAAACAGGGTTGGTGAAATAAAATGCGTGAGAACTTTTATGCAGAAATAATAAATAGGGAATAATAAATAGGGGATCTCTCCACTACCTGGAGCTGAGCTCATAACGTTGGCACTTACTGACACTATGGACTTTAAGAATTTAGCCCTGGGGGTTAGAATATGTTGTTGAGGGTTAGACTATATGGAATAATTACTCATTGTACATCTATTGTTTCTCAAATCCATGAATGAATTCACGTTTTTTTCCCGTTTTCCTCAGACCTGGCTGTTTGGCTACGAATTGACGGACACCATCATGGTGTTTTGTGACACCAAAATCATCTTCCTCGCCAGCAAGAAGAAGGTGGATTTTCTCAAACAGGTGGCTATAACAAAAGGCAACGAGAATGCCAACGGTGTTCCGCCCATCACCCTGCTCACCAGAGAAAAGGTAACGTGAACACGGGGATAATGGCCAACTAGGCATTCCCTTTTTCCACAGTCATCATATGCCATTTCAAAATAAAATGTTTGTCTGAAAGAGGAATCTGTTTTGTGATCAGAATTTGAGAAACAAGATTTGCAGTTTTCCTCCTTTGTGGGTAACTGAGCCAATTTTCAACCACGTCTTCTTTGCAATCTTGTCTTCATTTCAGATTTTTATCATATATATTTTTAAAAAGTATATTTAGTTGCTTTTTTGCTAGAATTTCAATAACAAAAATCTTGGAATACCTTCTTTTCCCTACTGTAATGCAGAAAAATGTTGTACTATGTATTATTACATTAATAGTTCATCACTCATGCACTAATGCAGGATTTGACTGTTGTAGTTGGTTGAGGTGGAGCTCTGAACTATTTTGTAACCCAGTGTGGCTATTGATTATTTTCTTCATAGATTAACCTGATGATTATTTTCTCCATTAATCGACTGACTGGTTTGTAAAAGTTCTGACAGTAGTCAGACATGCCGTCACACTGCTCTAAGCGATCATCAAAATAGTTGTTAATTAATCGTAGGTGTCTAGGAGTGCAGTCAGACCTGTCTGTGCTTTCACTCACACAGGCACACGTGCTCATTTATATGAGCCGGCAAAGTTAGTGTGTGTTTTTGGTGTCAGGATGGCATCAGCGAGAGTTCTTCTGTAAGTCCGAGATTAGTGAATGAACGGACTATGTAGAAAATTATTTAGTGTGAAATTAACATTCATTGCCGTTGGGGTTTTGCATCTTTCAGAATGAGAGCAACAAGGGAAACTTTGACAAGATGATCGAGGCAATCAGGGGCAGCAAAGAAGGTAAGACGGTGGGGATCTTCAGCAAGGACAAGTTCCCCGGGGAGTACATGAAGAGCTGGAATGACACGCTCACGGCAGAGGGACTGGAGAAGGTAAGACACAGTCCAAAATGTGAAATGAAACTGGATTCTTGAAAACTGCTTAGGAATAATGGCAAGGACTCCTGTGCCTGTTTTAGTCTGCAGTTCTACCTCTTGTGTTGTGTTGCGCCTGCAGGTGGACATCAGCGCTGTGGTCGCGTACACAATGGCGGTGAAGGAGGACGGTGAGCTTGGCCTGATGAAAAAGGCAGCGGCCATTACCAGCGAGGTTTACTCCAAGTTCTTCAAGGAGCGCGTCATGGAGATTGTCGATGCAGATGAGGTGAGGAGTAAGGACTGCAGAGGCAGTTGTACAAAACTGAAAATGATGTGTATATGTCTGAGTTTACCATGGCAACGTTTTGGTTAAATATTGTATGAGCTTCAGATCTGAAACATTCATCAGTGTAAATCACCTTCTGTATAATTAGTCTCGTTCCCTGTCCTCAACAGAAAGTGCGTCACAGTAAACTGGCAGAGTCTGTGGAGAAGGCCATCGAGGAGAAGAAGTACCTTGGTGGTGCCGATCCGTCCACAGTGGAGATGTGTTATCCTCCCATCATCCAGAGCGGAGGAAACTACAGCCTCAAGTTCAGCGTGGTCAGGTAGCTTACCCCGTCTTAACAGAGCCACAGTGATTTATTTTGGTTACAATTACTCAGGTTGGCTATTTTATCAAAAGGTTTTTTTTGTTTTGTTTTTTCCAGCATGTTTGCAAAATGTATAAATTCAGATAAATGTTGCTCTGCAGCTAATGATTATTTTCATAACTGGATTACCAGTTATTTCTTGATCAATTTAGTCTATTAAATGTCAAACAGTGGGAAAAGGAAAAAATTACTTGAGCAGTTAATTGATTTATTGCATTTGTGAGTTGGTTAAGCTGTAAAGTTTAGAAAAGTATTTTGAACAGAAATCAGAGATCAAATGTTTTGCTCAAATGAATAGATCGATACCCGGTCTGTTAAAATAGGACGCACATAGCATAGCTTTCCTGGCATTAACTAAAGTTATAAAGCCTGTCAAAGCTTTGTTTTTTGCACTAGATTGCGGTATGGATTAAACTAACCTGGTAAAGAGGTGTTGCCAGGCAGATTCTGACATCTCTGTCACAGAATGGCTAGCTGTTGTCTTTATGCTAAATTAACTAGCTGCTAGTTGTGCAAACTGTTTGTTTATTGTATTTGACACGGTTTATTATTTGCAGATATTCGTACGGTAGTTGGTAAATTGTACTTTTTCTATGATGCGCTGTGTGAAATGACGCCATTAAAGGGGAATTTTAAATTCAGACACAGATGTGCTGTGATCATACTTGGTGTACAGATTTTGAGAATCCAGTCATAAATGACACTGTTCACTCATTTTATATAGCACTATTCTTTCTGTGTATCAGTGATAAGAACCACATGCACTTCGGTGCCATCACATGTGCCATGGGCATCCGCTACAAGTCGTATTGCTCCAACCTGGTGCGAACTCTGATGGTGGACCCCCCTCAGGAGATGCAGGACAACTACAACGTTCTCCTGCAGGTGGAGGAAGAGCTGCTCAAAGAGCTCAAACACGGTGGGTTCAGGAGCCTGCTGGAAGTGGGGGAGTTTTTGGTGCTGATAATAGCAGCAAACCTCTCTTTTGATTATAATTGATAACCTTGATAACATTTTTACGCATGTCTGCTCTTTCTAATGCATCACCAGTGCACTTTAAAACTTTTGGAATTGTTTTGGGGAAGAACTATGTCTGCATCTAACAGCAAATTTATTTTTTCCATAAATCTACAGAATATTCTCACAGTTGGGTGATAAAAATGTTCATTGCAACTGTTAGGATCACAATCAGATTGCTTGTTTTACTCAAATATTCTATATAGTGGATGAAAGGATCAAATCCTGAGGTTTTAGAAGCTGCAGCAGTTGCTAAAATGACTAATCAAGAATGTAGAACTGTTGCTGATAAATGTTGTTGAATACTGAAGCCATTAATTGTTCAAACTGCAGAATAAATAGAAATTGGGCAGGTGCCGTAAGGTATGAGGTCTTTGTCACCAGATAAAGCAAAATGAGCATGTTTGTTGAGCATATTTTTATTTCTTTCTTTTTAAGCCTTTTCTGTCCCGTCCACAGGTGTGAAAATCTGTGACGCCTACAACGCCGTGCTGGAGTATGTGAAGAAGGAGAAGCCAGACCTTGTAGCAAAGCTGACCAAAAACCTCGGGTACATGCACATGGATGACGCCTCACTTTTCCACGTACTCACACACATTTACACACTTTACTCATAGTGTCATGTTTTTGTTGTTCTTTGTAGCTTTGCAATGGGAATAGAGTTCAGAGAAGGCTCCTTGGTTTTGAATGCTAAAAACCAGTACAGACTGAAAAAAGGTGAGATTTATTAAATTTTTTTAATCTAGTGACTTTTTGTTACCTGAAGATATTGGTAATTTTAGTGTTTTCACGCCTGTAGTTCGTTTGCACTAGTCCGAATCAGTGGACCAGTTTGTAAACTTGGTCCATTTTCCCTTTGGTTTGGCTTCCTTTCAGACACAGAAAAATCCAAGTGAACCAAAATGCATCACTTAAAAATCATGTAAGAACATTGCCTTCACTCGTTGGTTAAAGGACACTGGGCAGGAATGACAAAATAAATGCAGGAAGAAGATCTGTGTTCTGTACTGGTGAATAGTCTTGAGGTAGATTTGTTCTGCAGCATGGAGAAACAGACTTGGGGGTCTGTTTCTCTAAGACTGAGGCCATGGTGCTCTGCCAGAAAACAGCGGACTGCTCTCTGGGTTGGAGTGAATTGCTGCCCCAAGTGAAGAAGCTGAAGTTTCTTGGGGTCTTGTTGATGAGTGAGGGTAAGATTGACAGGCGGGTAAGGGCAGCTTCAGCAGTAACGTGGACATTGTACCGGACCGTTGTGGCGAAGAAGGTCTTTCAATTTACCAGTCAGGCTATGCTCCAACCCTAACCCATGGTCACAAGCTGTGGGTAGTGACTAAAAGAATAAGATCGTGAATACAAGCAGTCGAAATGAGTTTCCTTCGTAGGGTGGCTGGCACCTTAGAGGTGGGGGTGCGGAGCTCAGGCGTTCAGAAGGGACTCGTAGTAGAACCGCTCCGCCTTCATATCGAAAGCAGCCAATTGAGGTGGTTTGAACAGCGTACTAGAATGCCTCCCTTTAGACGTCTTCCGGGCACGTCCAACTGGTAGGACATCTCGGGGCAGACCCAGAACACACTGGAGAGATTTTATATCTCATCTGGCCTGGGAACACCTCGGAATCTCGTCAGAGGAGCTGGAACACGTCGCTGGGCAGAGGGATGTGTGGACTACCTTACTGAACCTGCTGTCAACATGACCCGACCCCAGTTAAGCAGATGATAATGACCGAATTGATGGATGGAACATGGAGAAACAGCATAATCAGCATTTGCTCATAGCTGTGGTAATTATTTGAGTTATAAACCAAATACAACTACGCCAACAAAACAGTTATTATACTTCAAGAAAATGTATTGAAACAAGCACCCTTAGTAATGGGTAAATTGTTCTGCTTTTCTATGATGCCGTGTGTGGAATTAACTGTTGAAATGGAATTCACCACATTCACACACAGCTGTTTAGTGACTACCATTTATTTGACTATCACTGAAACCTGTATTGATTGTGTGTGTGTGTCTGTGTGTCCCCCTAGGCATGGTGTTCAGTATCAGTCTGGGTTTCGCTGACCTCGTGAATAAAGATGCTAAGAAAGAAGAGCAGAAGAAGTACGCCTTGTTTATTGGTGACACAGTACAGATCAACGAGGTAGGATAAACGTTCGCTGCTGAGAAGGCTTGAGGTGTTCACAGGTCTTGTGCATAAACGAACATTAGGATCAAGTTTTGAGAATTTAGTAGGTAACTTCAGCATTAGTAGCAGAAGTTCTGCAACATGTAACAGGTTGAAATCTTTCTGTGTAACAGGAGGAAACTGCTACGATACTTACACCAGTCAAGAAAAAGATAAAAAATGTGGGGATCTTCTTGAAGGTAGGTGTCTCTTACCTCACCAATTCAACTTCTTGTATGTAACTGCACAAACAAGTTGAAACTGAAGCTGTGCGACATATTTCTAAATAGTTGAAATTTGACCTGTCCATCGGTTTTTCTGTAAAGTATAACTTACATTACCACACAGTTAATCGCAGAGCAGCAAATTTTCTGGAACTTGTTTCGTTTCCTTAGAATGATGACGAAGAAGATGAGGAGGAAGATGGCGATGATGCCGAAGAGCTGCTGGGGAAAGGAGCTCGGAGCGCAGCGCTGCTCGCGGACAGAACCAGAGTGAGTGTGTGTGTGTTTTGAAGACGCGACTGGTGATCAGTGTTTGTTTGCCACCTTGACGGAGTGTTGGTAACTAAGAGTGTGAATGTCTTTGTGCTCTAACAGCTACTTGGGAAGGTAAGTATTCATTGTTTTCTTTAAATCCTCATCGGCTGAACTGGTTGTGTAAAAAAAAATTTTTTTTTAAATCCGCCCACTGATGGGGAAACGTCATTTTCATTTCAGTGAGTTGTGTTGTTTGATTTTCTGACCATCCAGAGCTGTTACACACATCTGTATCCTGCATGTATGTTGTGTTTTTTGTTTTGTTTTTTTATTTTATTTTATTTTATTCCCTTTACACAATCTTGGCTTATCATGTCTGTTGTGTGGCCACTCAGTTGTGTCTGCTGTCCAACACAGAATGAGATGACGGCGGAGGAAAAGAGGCGGGCTCACCAGAAGGAGTTGGCCAATAATTTGAATGAAGAAGCCAAGCGCCGTCTGACGGAGCAGAAAGGAGAGCAGCAGATTCAGAAGTGAGTGGTGGGCACTAAAAGTCAGAACAAGAATTTAGGCTTTGAATGTTACTGGACTACTTTATATTCAGAGGTGTTCCTAATATTCTGACCCCCACATGTATGTACCTGGGGAGAACAAAATATAGAGACGCTAATATCAGGCTTTGAGCGTTGTGAAGTAATCAATGAGGGATCTCGATAAATTCCAGGCTTCTTGGTGCTAAATTCCCGTTTTTGCTTCCTGGTGTCTCCAGGAGTTGTGCACCAGAGAGACTGACACACGATCTGACTGACATTAGTTGGAGCTAATCTTTAGGATGCATTTTTACCCAAAACAAGGACTGAGGGTTTTGCCAGCACACGGGCAGTTTTTCAGTGAAACATTACCGTTTTTGGTTACACGCCCCTCACAAGCTGCTTGGATGAAAGGTGATCAGAGCCCATGGTGCACTCGCTGTCTTGTGTGTTAACAGGGCAGCTGAGTGACAAAGGCATCATTAAACCTAAATACATGGCTCTTCAGCTCTTTATTGTTCACTATACACTTGTGTGTGAGAATCAGCCTTATGATATTATCAAAAAACTAAGATATTATCTTTTTTTAAGTTCTAGTTGTTGTAGAGTTGAGTAACTACTTTTTTTTAACACGCTTGTTAAGTCCATTGTTACTATGTCCATCTAATGTTACCCAACCACTTCTTGACAAAAAGTGCAAAACTTTTGACTGTGAGAAGAAGTGTACTGAGACCCTTTGGTAACCTTAGCTTAATGCCAACCCTTCAGTTGGTGGTAATGAGTAACAACAGTAACATCAAAATTGCTACTGACGTTACCCAGTGTGTTTATTTTGCATGAGGGTCAAGTGAAATCTGTGCATTCTTAACCTACAGTAAGCATCAGCTCTGTGTAGCACATGTAATTAAGTTGGTGCTCATTAATTGAGGCCATTCTTTCCCTCTCAGGGCCAGAAAGTCCAACGTGTCCTATAAGAACATCTCTCAGATGCCCAGAGAAAAAGACATCAGAGACATGAAGATTTTCATCGACAAGAAGTATGAGACTGTCATTATGCCCGTCTTTGGCATCGCCACGCCGTTCCACATCGCCACCATCAAGGTACGCTGAGGCTGCTTCAGCCTTGCTGCGTTGGCTCCCCCCATGTTGATGATAGCACATTTTTTAACTGCTTTCTTATTGTATTTCTTTCTATCCATTCTCTTTTCCATCTAGAACATCAGTATGTCTGTTGAAGGAGACTACACCTATCTGAGGATCAATTTCTACGTCCCTGGCAGCTCCTTAGGGCGACAGGAGGGAAATATCTTCCCTAACCCAGATGCCACATTTGTTAAAGAAATGTGAGTCTTAACTGTTCATACTGAATGTTTTCTGCTGAAATCTGTGAAGTCAAATTATTATTTTCTTTCATCCCCCCAAGATGATTTCTAGTTTTGGTGTTGTGTATGTGGACATGGTATTGTTTCTGTTTGGCACACACCTTTGACCTTACTTTGGAGCTACAACTTTGGTGCAGTATTTCTTTAATGGCTAAAGATTGCATCCACTGCTCTAGCTGATAGTCTTAAAAATGTCTTTGTAAAGCGTTTGTAAAGCGTTCTTCCACATCTGCTATAATTGCGATCCTGCCTTTCTCAACTCTGCTCAGCACGTACCGAGCGTCCAACCTGAAGGCTCCTGGCGACATGTCGGTGCCCTCCACCAACCTGCAGAACGCTTTCCGCATCATCAAGGAGGTGCAGAAGCGCTACAAAACACGGGAGGCTGAAGAGAAGGAGAAGGAGGGCATCATCAAACAAGACTCGCTAGTCATCAACCTCAACCGCAGCAACCCCAAACTCAAAGACCTCTACATCAGACCCAACATCGCACAGAAGAGGATGCAGGGCTCACTGGAGGCACATACTAATGGTGAGGAAGCAGAAATGACGTCTCATTCAGCTAAGTAGCGGTCTTCATGACGTTTTGTGTTGAAAGCACCGCCTCCTCTCCGCGCACAGGTTTCCGCTTCACATCAGTCCGCGGTGACAAAGTGGACATTCTTTACAATAACATCAAACACGCCATCTTTCAGCCATGTGAGGGGGAGATGATCATTGTACTGCACTTCCACCTCAAGGTTCGTCCATCTTAAACACCGCTACAGTACACTGTCAAGCTCAAGTATCAGGCTTTTCTCCTCTAAGGTGCACTGACATATTTAGGGAAATAGTTGTTAGAAGCCTTTAACTTGGGATAATCACAGGAAAACAAGAAAACTGTTAGTCGTGGGCAGCCCTTAGTATAAACTGGAAATAGAGAGAACTGTTTTTACACTTTGTCCTCCAATTAAACAGACTCAAAAAAATACTGTGTGGTAGGTGGATTATATTGCCTTTGACAGCACCACACTAGCTGGCTCTTCTTTATGCTAAGCTAATGGGCAGCTTGCAGTGGCCTTGTTTAGTGCATAGATGAGACATCTGCTTTGAAACGCGTTTTAACTTTCCCCCCAGAAACATTTTTGTGACTGTGCTAGGAATCTATAATAAAATACTTCTATAAACTAACTACATAATATTTTCCCAGTAAATCCTACAGGACAGCAGTAGGTTTTGAAAAGTCTTCTGTTTTAGAAAGTAATCAGTGTTGCTGCTTTCCCACATAAGGTTAGTTTTAATCAGTATCACTTGAAATTAAAGCACTGAAAATATGCGATATAGTGCCGCATCATCTTTAGTGATTCCATCATACTTTCATCCCTTGGTAGCTGGTTTGACTGGAATGATTATTAACATCATATGTAGTATTAAAATGGTCTTTTATAAAGTCTTAAATGTTGACACACAGCATAAACCATGAATTAGGGGGAAAAAATGCTCTTCCAAAATGGGCTTATGATTGTCAGTGTTTTAAAAATATGTGATTCCTCACACTGTTCCTATAGAACGCCATCATGTTTGGCAAGAGGCGTCACACGGACGTCCAGTTCTACACTGAGGTCGGGGAGATCACCACAGACTTGGGCAAGCACCAGCACATGCACGACAGAGATGACCTGTACGCCGAGCAGATGGAGCGGGAGATGAGGCATAAGCTGAAGTCAGCGTTCAAGAACTTCATTGAGAAGGTGGAGACGCTGACTAAAGAGGAGCTGGAGTTCGAGGTGCCCTTCAGAGACCTGGGGTGAGTAACTTAGCAAAGATGTTTCAAACTGAGGCCACGTAATAAACATGGATACAGATGAAAATAAATGCTGGGGAAAACGGTGGACACGTCTCTGCATTAATCAGGGAGGAGCTGGAACATGTCACTGGGCATGCTAACATGCTAGTTTCTGTACCAAAGTGCTAAACTGACCTATAGCCATATCCAGAGCTTTAAGGCCATAGGCAGGTGGATTGACACTTGCTGTGCAACTGTGTCCAGGTTCCAGGGCGCCCCCTACAGGAGTACCTGCTTGCTACAACCCACATCCAGTTCCCTTGTCAATGTTACTGAATGGGTGAGTGAGCACACTGAGCTTGCAACTGTTGCAAAAGTTTGGCATAGCGTCCCTGCAGAGTCTGATTTCAAAGAAAACTGTTGAGGTTTTTGTCTTGTTTAAATAAAAAAGAAAAGCGAAGCATTTTAGCTCTGAATGTGCAGTTTAAAATGTGGTTAGTGAAATATGAACAGTCACCTGAGAGTGTAAAACATCCTCAGGGTTAAACAAGATATTACAAATGAACATCTATTATGATGTCCTCCTTATTAAACAATTTAATTTAACATTAATACAATGTTTTTTCCTCAGTGCTTATGCAAAAAATGTTTGTCTGAATTTTTCTTTTTCTTGGTTGTCCAGCCGCCATTTGTCGTCACTCTGGACGAGGTGGAGTTGGTCCACTTTGAGCGTGTGCAGTTCCACCTTAAGAACTTCGATGTTGTCATCATCTACAAGGACTACAACAAGAAGGTCACCATGATCAATGCTGTGCCCGTCAATTCCCTCGACCCCATCAAGGAGTGGCTCAAGTAAAACCCATTTAACACACTAATGCTCTTATAATGAACAAAACAGACATGGTTAAGTTCAAATGACATCACAACAGCAACCGTTTCTTTTTACAGCCACAGGTTCACACAGGCCGCTCTGGCTTTTGAGTAATGACCTGGTTTCTGTCTCGTTCTCAGCTCGTGTGACATCAAGTACACAGAGGGAGTCCAGTCCCTAAACTGGACCAAGATCATGAAGACCATCGTTGATGATCCAGAGGGCTTCTTTGAGCAGGGAGGCTGGTCTTTCTTGGACCCAGAGAGCGAGGTACTGTATGTCCAGCACAGTGGACCAGGAAATTCAGGTTTCTGCTGTCAAAACAGATGGCACCAAGAGTTTTTTGGTTTTTTTCCCCCATGCAGACGATAATGGTGTGTACCAGGTGTTCATGATCTTGCCAAACAAGCTCCCCTTTCTCTTCAAATGGCAAATTTGTACTTAAAAATGAGGAATTTTGGTTTTTTTGTGATTATCTCTTGCTTTGTTTCCTTTTTCAGGGAAGTGGTGCAGAGGAAGACTCAGAATCCGAAATGGAGGATGAAACATTCAATCCATCTGCAGATGAAGAAGAGTATGAGGAGGAAGACAGTGATGAGGACTACAGTTCAGAGACAGAGGACTCTGGTATAATTTAGCACTTTCCTTTTTTTTTTTTTTTCTTTTTTTTTTTTTATTAAGGTTGGATAGTATCTGAAAATGTTCCATTTCATTCACACATGAACTTGGTGTTCTAAGTGTCTTCTGTTGCTTAGTAGATTACAGCGCGTCACTGGGCAGCGAGGAGGAGAGTGGTAAAGATTGGGATGAGCTGGAAGAAGAAGCCAGAAAAGGTTTGTGCCTGCAACTCATTCTTCAGTTGGTTATATCTGGAAATTATGTAATTAGTATCGCGTCATCTAGTGTTGTAGAGATATCAGCGGTCTTTACGTTTAATTTAAATGAAGGTCATGTATGACATGGATTTAATAAACTTGGGTACGAAATTGACTAATGTATGTAATCTGTGCGATGCTAATGCCTAGTACATCGTAGGCCACAACGCAAGTCGATAAATATCAACAGCATGTGTCGTCCACCTGCATTGCTGTAGTTTTGTGATACATGCTTCAGGTCACCAGTGACCTCCTATCTGCTCGTCACCATCTACACAACAATACTTTTTTTTACAAGGCGTCACAGAGAGTAGAAAAAAGGACAAAATAGTTTGACTCTAAAACAGTAGTTAGTGCAGCCGTTCTACCTGGTGGCATAATAACCAAACTGCTTCAAGTCGTAGTCAGTTTATTCAGATAGAAATCTCACGTTGTATGTCTGTTGTTTTTAATAGCTGCCAGCTTTACTGTTGCTTTCATCAGCGTAAAATGTAGCGTCAGTGTATTGTTTGTTTGTGGTTTTAACATGGGGAATGCCCAGAGACCCTGGCAGAACTGAACTTTCAAATCCAAGCAGACACTCCTACATTTTCAGATGCCAACTAGAATCGGGGTGATTCTGTGTGCAGTGGAAACAGGTTTTTTTGTTTGTTTGTTTTTTTTAAGCTCCTCGCGCTTGTTTGGCCCAGTGGCAGCAGTGATTCACCAAAAGTGGTGCTTTACAAAGTCCAGTCCCATCCTCAGAACGGTCACCTTTTACATCCCACTGGAGTTTGCAGACCTAACTCACATGCTGGTGCTTTTGGATAATGTGAATGTTTGGTGTTAAATGTTAATGTTGTTTGTCCTCTAGCTGACAGAGAGAGTCACTACGAGGATGAAGACACCTCCAACAGGAAGAGAAAAGTCCAGTCATCAGCTCCACCCAGCAAGAAGAAGCGACGGTCCTAAACATCTGTCTCTCTCTCTCTCACACTCTCACACTCACACACACACACACACACACACACATACTGCCAAACCTAGCTGGCCTTCGACCCTTCCTTTTACCCCAACTGGCTCTTGTGGTTCATACACTTCACACAGACACACACGTGTATACACATGTGTATATAGATGTAGAAGCCCCTTATTTTTATGTTGGTCAGTGAGGTGTCACGTTGAATTGGTAAGAAAGAACCAGCAGGACGGGCACACGTACTTCATTTATCATTTCTTTGTTTCCACCTCCCATCTCCATCTATCCATCATCAGGGTTTCATGTGTGTGTGTGTGTGTGTGTGTTTCAGTGTGGTGTTTTTTTTTTTTTTTTTAAATGCCAGCACTGTTCATTTTCTGTTTAAAAGATGTTTCTTAACTAACAGATAATAATAAAAAAAAAAGATGACATATCATTTGCCAAGTGTTTTATATAAAAACTGGGAAACGTACCATCTCCTGCACATCTTTGTCTGTTTCATTATTCAGTGTTTGTTAAATCATGGCGGTTAGATGGAACATTTTTAGTTTTAGGGGGGGTGAATACACTGATCTTCCCCTCCCCTTTTAATAAATTCGTCAATTTTTGCAGCCAGACGCGTGCGCACACACACACACACACACACACACACAAGTCTCCTTCACACTTCACACTTGTCCCCATGTCCTGGTTTTTTTTTGTTTTTTTTTGTTCCCCCCCCCCCATTCTGAGTAGACATGTTGTTGTACTGTATATTCTGAAAATCCAGTTTTTGTAATAAAATTAAAAGGAACTGTACTTGGTTTTCTGTGGTCTGTTTTTTGAGTTGTTGCCTCTGTCTGCACATCTGGAAACAGTCGTGGGGCTTTCTTTTAATCTAATGAAGAAAATCAGCGATGAGAATTTGTATAAACCCACAGGCCACAGCAGGCCTCTTGATCTGATCACTGAACCTGACTGAGGAGACCCTGATGGGTACAAGCCAGTCTGTTGGTTTGTTACTCAAAGTCCTTCAGGTTCGATCATTTTTTATGCTGTTGTGAAGGAAATGGCTTGAACTGGTCCAGTTTTATTAAACCCATAAACTACTGAACATTTCCTTATTTTCAGTTTTGAACTGTTGTGATGTTTATAAAAATCATATGATGTATCATCTGCTTCACCTGGGCGGAAGAGGAATGTTTCTTGTAGCCATGTAAAATATGGGAGCTCATCATTCCGTGGTAAAGTCCTTATTTTTAATTGTCCTGTAAACTCATCATGAGACATTTTATGACACAAAGTTAATTCCAGATAATGTTCATTTTCGTTTTAAACAATGGAATGTTTGTTTTTCCAGTTGTATTTTGGTACATTGTAATTTGGATGATACAATTCTTTGAGAGAAACTTGGATAATGTTTGGTAGTTTGAATGCACTGTTTCATATCAAATGTTATTTAACTTGCTTGACATAATCTGTTTCATTAGATAAAGCATAAAAAATTTACTCTTGACAAAAGGCAATGCTTAAACTTGTCTATTGACTATGACTGTGACTTGCACCAGAAGAGGATATGTTCCTTATGCTGTATGTGGTGAACCAGAACACTACTAATGAGGTTTTGATTTCACCCGAGGTTGATTGTTCTGACCAGCCCTCACCTCTGGAAGCAGCTCATCCAAGACCCATGAAATGACAAGTATGTTTGATATTCCCTTGGTATGGGTAAAATATGTGTTAATTAGTGAGCATGAGCGATACTAGTGGATTTTGTTGCTTTTGGACAAACTGATAAACGGTTTCACCTTGTTTCTACTCTGTAATGTCAAAATGTTCCTTTAAGGAATTCTGAATTATCCTTATGATCTATCAACAAGCTGTCTGGGCAGTTAATGTTTTGCTATGCTATTCCTAACACAGAAACCTCTGTTTCTTTTAGTCAAGTCAAGATTTTTATTTGCCATTTATGCATAAACAGATAATCTAGGCATATAGGAATACTTGTGCAACCCTCCTTTGGAGTCAGGTAAGGAGTCGAAAGCTAGAAAGAACAGTCTTGAATAGTACAAAGGGAAACAAAATATTAAAACACAATACACAAACATAGGGTAATAGTATTTTCCACAATGAACGTCAAACATCACACTAAGTAATTTACATGGTGGAGTTGGATATGGCATTTCACTTGGTGAGGTAGTGAGGGGTTATTCCACATATATTATCACATTTTCATTAGGGGTTATTGCACATTTCTCACATTTTCATATTTGCCATCAGTCTTATTGTGGCAGGGAAGAAGCTGTTGTAAAGTCTAGTTCTGTGTGTGATGATACAGTTCGCCCTGCTGTGCCTGAGGCTGTAGGTGCAGTTTTTGTGTCTGAGCAGAGAGTGAGCTGGGTGGCATGGATCTCTGAGTATGTTCTCTCCCTTTTACGACAGCACTGTGTGTACAGTGTGTAGCAGGCAGTTCAGTCCCAATGATCCTCTCTGCAGTCTTTATGACCCTTTGAAGAGCCTTCCTCTCTGCTTTTGTGGTGTTACCATACCAGACTGTGATGCCAGTGAGAAATAACTCATTGTCTTCTTTGCTTTCTACATCAGGAGACTACTTTCACTCTCATGTCTGTGCAGTAAATGACTGGAAACTGTTACACTGGCTTTGTACAAAAGTAACAAAACTCTTTGTTTTTCCAGTTGTATTTTGGTACATTTTAATTTGGATGATACATTTCTTTGAGAGAAACTTGGATAATGTTTGGACACACACACACACATACACACACGTCTCCTTCGCACTTGTCCCCATGTCCTGTTTTTTTTTTTTTGCCCCCCCAAAAGAGGTCTGTCATCTTCCCAATCAGCCTGCCTGGGCCAATGGTGTTGAGTGCAGAACTGTAATCCAGGAAGAGCATCCTACCATACGTGTACTGCTGTTGTCCAGGTGTTTCAGGGTGTGGAATAAAGCCAGAGCTGTCATATCGTCCCCTGATTTGTTGGGGCGGCAGGCAAACTGGAGGGGGTCTACAGTGTCCGGGACCATGTGGTTAACGTGTGAGAACCAGTTTCTCTAAGCACTTCATTGCGACTGATGAGCGCCACTGGACTGAAGTCATTCAGAGTGGATGTGTCTGATGTCTTAGGGACCGATATGATGATGTATTTTTTGAAAATGCGAGGAACTACTGCTTGGGTTAAAGACAGGTTGAAGATGTCTGTATACACACTAGCCAGTTGATCCCCACAGGCTTATGGGGGTTTACCTGTCTCAGGGCCTTCAGGACCTGTGTGTGCGTCCCCTGAAAATACGCCGCTTGGGCCCCTGACTTAAAAGCCTCTCATCTCCTCCTGATTTTCTGTTTTATATCCCTATTAAACCAGGGTTTTTGGTTGGAGAAAACATGCACCTTTCTAGCTGGTGCATATGGATGTGCACCAACTGATGTAGTCACTCACAGTCTCTGCATATTTATGGATGTTGTCTGTGGCCCCTTTGAAGATGTTCCAGTCTTCTGATGGTATAAAAAAATAAAAGGGCATGTGGTGCGTTGTTTAAGCAGTATAGTGAATGGCCATAAATTTGCAGCCCAAACAGACAAAGTTAGTCACTCTCCTTCTTTCTCCTGGCACGACGTGGTGAACGCTTTCTGTATATCAAGTAAGTATCGATCCTTATTATGACACAATTTTCATTGTTCACTTTACCTTTTACAAGTGTAAGTGATTCATAATTCATGCAAATCTGAGCAGACTGAACTATTTGTACTGATATATGAAAGACAAAACATCCACAAACTATTTGCAGTTTTCACATACCTTGTGTTACAGATTTGTTTTACTGCACCTGATGTTAAGGGTAGATTCCTGTGTCTGTAATACACCTGGTTTTCTAAATGGCCCATTGATTCGTAATTCCTGCTTTTATATAGCTAGAGACAACACTGTCTCCTAGAAGTTAGATTCATATACACGTATTTTGCAACAACAATTTTATCAAATTTTTTTAAATCAACTTGATTAGGAAAATATATATGATGTTACTGTAACTAAGCACAAATTGGTGTTGTATATATGGAGTTTATAGGAGATGATTGATATCTAATTTCTCCCTTTGAACAGGCCAACGGACTTGTTGAACTGCCACATCATGGCCAACAGTACCTACCTTGTCAGCAGCTCACCTTTCAGCCAGAAAGCAGCCCTAAACCCTAATGTGACTGGAGGTCTTCTCCTGGCCTACTTCCTCCTTGGGCTCGCCAGCTACTTCTGGGCCTTCTGGTCTCAGCGCCGCAGGCTCCACATTTTTGCAAAAAGCATCATGATGCCCTATTCGTGCCAGCAGGCCAATATCATGGGTATTGAAAACGTCCACAGGCCTCTCATATCTCTGACTGTTATAAATGTTATGAATGTGATCACAACAATAATCTTGGTGAGCGAATTCTTTGGGTCTGCCTGCAGCACATACACCTGTCAGTCCACCTTGAATGCATGGATTGTGTTGAGACTCTGTGGAGTGTTTTTACATCTCCTAAACGTCCTGATGTGCATCCTTTTCTTGTGCCAAACACAGTGGGGAGCCAAACTGTGCTGTATTATAACAATTGTGGGTGTGGTGAGTTGTATCTTTATCTCTATTTATGCAGTCTCCCCCCAAGCTACAGTTTTCGGGCAGTCCAGTATCATCATTGGAATAACTTTGGCCATCATTGTAAAATGTGCAACGTCAACCACACCTCCCTCTGTTTCCACTCACAAGAAACTGGTCGTGCTGCTCGGCATGATGACGTTCTTATTGGTCTTTATGCCTGCTTTTGTCCTTCAGTGCCTGGTCTATAGTTCACTTAATAATGAGTATGCCATTGTGTATCAGAAAGTTCTGTTTTGCACAAGCTTTAACATCTTTCTGGATGGATGCCTGTGTTACTGCATCCTGAGGTTGCCTTCCACAGAGGAACAGCAACAGACTGGGGGAAACCCAAACAATGTTAGTGTCGCCGTTGTATCATAAATACAACATGCAGAACTTGAATTGTGTCATGATTTTGCATCACAATGAACTGATACATAACTGGTGAAGGGGACATGTTCATATGTCAAACGTCAACTGTCTTTGTTGTCTTCGAGGACAATCTGTCAATGTAAACATAAGCATCACTATGCACAAATACGCTTCTGCAGAAGAATTTAATCAATACTTTTAGATATGGACAGGAAGCTATACAAAAGGATGTTTTATCACATCCATAAACTTGAAGTTGAATACACTATATGATGGAACTGCTAGTCAAATTGTTTTGTTTTTCAAATTTGGTGTTGTTTTGTGGGTTGGCCAGTGCTTTTATGAGCAACATACAGTAAATTAATCACTTTTCTACCCACTGGTTGTCAGCCAGAGAAAAGCGTGTTAGACCAACATTAGTGTCAGACTGGTAATTATGATATGAAATAAAAGAGGCAAAATGAGCAGATCAGTGTTTCATATAGTTATAATAAATGGTGTAACAATGATTTTTGGTTTGTTTTGTGATTGTATCATTTTAAGGAGTTGTACTTCCAAATTTGGGGCCAATTTGTAAGAATCTTATGATAACATTAAAGAAGGGTGAAGGTGACATTTTTGAGGTCATGGAATGACGTTAAAAGTGTTAAAAAATGAATTTGTGCTTTCCACTTTCATGTCA